CATTATTTATTATTATTATCATTTCTTGAGATTAAAAGGCTAGGCAAAATTGCCGAAATTCTCACATAGGGTGATGCACTATCAAAGACCAAAGTTGTTGCTGCTAATGCTGCTGTTTTGTCATTATTTTATATGGCTTTACCAAGAGAGGTGTAACAAAACCACATTGAAATTTCTCACGGTAGCTGCCCTCCTTTGCTCATGACCCCAGTTGTAAAGTAAGTTGGAAGTTTACAATTATTTTGGAGTGGAGCCCATCACCACTTTGCTGTTACTATGGGCACCTTCACAAAGAAAAGAAGGTACGTAATTGCCTCAATGGTTATAGGGGCAAGACTGCGGAGATGACAAGGGAGAAAGTGGTTAGGACTCAGTGTAGTCCTCTGAGCCCACCCAGAAGAGCGTTAGTAGGATGGATGTGTATTCCAGGACAAGAAAGAATTTCTAGAAAAGTAAGCAAGAGGAGTGCTTGAAAGGTTTCATGCCAGGGAATACTTGAATGGGTATCCTGGCTATAGCAGCAGCCAGCAGAGAGGACTCTACCCAGTATTGTACTTTCTGGACCATGCTCCCAGGCAGAATAGGAAACACATTTGGGAAGTCATCTTTTAGGACAGTGAGAATTTGACTCAGGGCTCCTAATTCCTGTGAGAAACACGCACTGTTGCTAATCGCTGCCCCACAAGAAAAAGGCTCCACTCACCAAATTTGCTCATACTCAGAGGCCAGTTTTAAACAGGAATAGAGCATTCAATCCTTTATATTCCTCTATCATACAGATATTTAGATTAACTTTCTGGCTTTCATCCTGAGACACTCTCCTCAGTCTTCATATGCCAAGTTTCTCTTTCATGGCTAGATGGTGTTCATGCCCCTCAACTCTGTTTCTCACAATCCTTCAGGTTTAGATTACAACATTACTCCATTTCCTAGAACATTGGCTGTTTACCCATGACTTCCAGCTTCGGCCTTCTAGCCTAAACTCTCACTTTGGGTCAGCCATCGGACTCATTATGATGGCTCATTCAGTTTCCTTGTTCTGGTCATTCCTCGTACGTCTGAAGTGCAGCCAAGGGGAAGTTCTGATTCCTTAATTAATAACTCTTTAGCCATAAACCCAGCCGCAAAGTTCTTCCCATACCCCAAACACACATTACCTGTGTATCCTGTCCTATAGGGAAATCTGCTCTCCAACTTGGCTGCAGGACTTTTATTTAGATTTATCTACTAAGTGGAGGATGAACTGGGGAAAGTGGCTTCTAAGTCTTGTATCATGGTAGAGTTTATAAAATCCTATTGATGATGAAATGTTTTACTGAATTCTACACTAAAAAAGTTAAATAGCAATAGGGCAGTTCCTTTTTTCAAAAAGTCTCAAATTCTTTGGTTTTCTAACATCATGTCTCAGCCATGTGTAGTACTGTTTTGGTTTAACCAGTCTGCAGAGCAGCTCTGTTTAGTCAACTGATTGGTTTGATTCCTTGCTCTTGGCAATAGTTTGTATGTTCTATAATCACAACTTGAAGCGAGACTTAGTTGTCAAGAACCTTAGCAACATTGACATTTTTGAGGATAAGTGAGGATCTCTCATATCTGTGATCTTGTAACATCTGGGTGATGCAATGACCTATGATCATTAATTTTAAACTCTTCTGAGTCTAGTGGGAGTTGAAAGTAGACAGAATAGTCAAAGTGTTATTTGCCTGGCTCCTCAAGCAGGGAAGGAAAAGTTTTCAATCTGCCATCTAAGGGCTTCATCTTCTCTGTGGGTCTTAGGTAAAAACACCTCCAGTCAAATTTGGTGTCTAAAAGTGATTTTTTGAGCAAAGAAGTAAAAAGAAAAAAATAAGTTAGCATTTTTTATTTTAACATTTTTTATTTTACAGTCTTTTCTTAAACTGTCTATTCACATCCATTTGCTTTGATGGATCCAGTTAGATTCCTACACAGGACACTGTTACAATTTGTGCACTCCCAGCCCTTGGGTGTGTTTAGGGAAGTTTTGTTTAATAAGTTTACTATGATCTTATGTAAGAATAGATTGCTTTATGAATAAAAATTTCTATTTATTTCCTACAATCAGCTATAAGATTTTCAGTCAAACTCAACTGTTCTGGCATAATATATTTTTCCTCACTGTTATGAAAGTAAGTAATGGTAATACAATTAAAGAATTTTTGGAATAGTCAAGTCTACTTTTCAGATATTTTCTCTTTTTTAACTATATGGAGTGGTGAGGTATTTTTTTTTCTGATTATAATATTAATATATTCTTGTACCTAAGGACTTCTACACGCACATATGTGTATTTTTAAGGGTTCTGTGAAAGTTTGATATAACTACTTCCCCCATATGAAAATTATATGAATCCATCTTTGATTATATGTGTATATGTGTGTGTCCAAGTAAAAAGATATATATTCAAAGAGTTATGGTAGCTTTGGTATAGTGTACCATGATGAATGATATTTATTATGCAGTTCTTGGCTGTTATTTCCTAAAACAAAAGATTAATTAATTGAAATTCACTAATATTAAAATTATGGATTTCTGTTAATTGAATGACAACATTAAGAAAGTGAAAACAGCCAGCAATTGAGAGAAGATAAATACATTACATATGTATGAAAAAGAGATATATGTAGAATATAAAAAGATCTCCTGGGGATGGCCCCATGGATTAGTGGTTAAGTTTGGTGTGCTCCACTTTGGTGGCCCAGGTTTGCAGGTTCGGATCCCAGGCATGGACCAACACCACTCTGTCAGGCATGCAGTTGTGGCACCCTCCCAAACAAAATGGAGGAAGACTGGCACAGATCTTAGCTCAGGGCTAATCTTCCTCAAGCAGAAAAAGAGGAAGATTGGCAACAGATGTTAGCTCAGAGTTAATCTTCTTCAGAAAAAAAAATCTCCTTCAAATAAATAATAAAATGTCAAATAGACAATTTTAAATTAGGCAAAAGAGTTAAACTGTCCCTTCACAAAGGAGGATTTCAAAATAATCAATAAACAAATTAATATATGCTGAACATTATTCAGGAAGTGCAATTTAAATTGCAATGAGATAATGCTATACCCTACCCCATAATCTATCATTTGCCTATTTAAAAATTATTTGAACTTGACGCACATATTTTATACTCTTTTATAATGAAATATTTAACAATAATAAAAAATAAATAAATTACTAATGTTTCAATAATAAAAAAGAAAAATGTATGGAACATTATAGTTAAATTAAAAACATGAGCATGAACTGGTCCCTTTAAGAGATTCCCCCTCAAGAACCTGTCCTGCCTCTGTTGTCATCCACCTTTCAGGAATACCCTTCAGATATGATAGGGAGAGTGATGTTCCCAGTATATCAGTGCTCAAACACAATCATAAGTTCACCCATCCTATAAATAACACTCAGGTATGTGCTGGGGTTATTACCAGTTATTTACACTGGAGAGGCCATCTTACAAATAACCAGATTCTCCAAGCATCTGAGAACCATATGGAATCCTTAATCTGGTCAGGAATTATGGTCAACAGTCTGTGCGCATTAAAGCCCAAGGGAGCAGCCCCAGCATTGGAGAGAGCCCTCCTGAGCCTTGGGATCTATAGGGCTGCCTTTATGCTATTATATTGTCTTACCCCTTCCTCTTTGCCCTGTAGGGTATTTGCCTGAGTCTTCATTATTTTTCTCTCAATCATTGTCTTTCAAGTGACATCAGAACACTGACTCTACCCATCATATGTAGAGTGATATCAACAGGTCACCCCTGGTCCCAGGCTCTCTTTCATTCTAAGAATTTTAAATGCTTTTGACAAAAGCTACCTGGCAAGCTGCATCAGCTAGAGGTGGCAGATCAAAGGCAAACCTGTGTCCTACCCCTTCAAGTAACCACTAAACAAGTCAAAATATACAACCACAATTTTTGAAAACAAGGTCTGTATGGCCTTTTCCTAGCACCAGCAAGCTGCACCAGAAACACAGGCCCTAACCCTACAGCCTCTGATGAGCTGAGGATGGGAGATGGTAGGCAAGAAAGCAAAAACACCACAATACTTTCTTACTGAAATTTAGCAGCCTTTTTCTTTTTTAGGTATTCCCTTGCTTGCCATAAGTCTTTGATCAGGTTCCAGAGTTTCAAGAAAGTGGATACTGTTACTTTTTGCAGCTTCGTGGTTGCTTCAGTGGAGGGACCCACTCAATGGCTCCCTACTCCACCAGTGTCTATGTACCTTATTTATTTTTGAAGCTCTGCTTTAAGATCCACATGCATTTACGAAGTTATATCTTTTCGGACGTTTTGACTCCTTTATCATTATGTAGTGTACCTCTATTGCTGATAATCTTTCTTATTCTGAAGTATACTTTGAAATTAAAATAGTTACTCTGGGTTTCTTTTGGCTAGTCTTTCATGGTATATTTTTGTCCATCACTTTTTTTCCCACTTATTTGTGTCATATATTTGAAATTGGTTTCTATAGTTAGGGCTTGCTTTTTAGTGAAATCTGCTAATATCCCTACTTTACGTTTTTAGACCATTTATATTTAAATTCAGTTTTAATATAGTTGGATTAAGATCTACCACCTTCTTAACTTTCTATTTGTTCTGTTTCTTTTTTTCTTCTTTTTCTGCCTTCTCCTGTTTAGTTGTGTATTTTTAAGAGTCCATCGTATCTCCTTTATTAACTTATTATTTATATCTCTTTTAAAAACTTTTTTTAGTGGTTGCCCTAGGATTTAACCATATTATTTTTAAATAATCTGAAGATATCTTCAAAAATATTTTGCCTTGTCAGAAGGTGCATTTGGCACCTGAGAAGGGTGCCAAAGCTGTTGGTTAGAGACCCAAATATGAAAACTTCCATCTTAGGCCAAAGGGTATAGGTCCCTTAGTGAGGCAAGCAGCAGCCTATGTGAGTTTTTTTAACACATCACAGTGGAGTGCCAAAACCAAAGCGTCTGATGGGCGTAACTTCCTATGAGTGAAAAGAAGTGAGTCACAACTATACATATTTCATAGTTCTATTTATTTAAAGTTCACAGACAGGCAAAACTAAATTATATAAAGAAAATCAAAGAAAATTCAGAGTACTGGTCAGTTTGGGGGAGTGGAGAAGAGGTCGTGAAGTGAATAATTTCTTAAACTGAGTATTGGGTACATGAGCGTTCATTTCATAATCATTCTTTAACTGGTACACACGTGTTTTGTACATTTTTTTTGTAAGAGTGATATTTTTATAAGATAAAATGATAAAAGAAATAGAATAGGCTGCAAGGGTTTTAATAGTAAAAAAGCAAAGAACATAATGAAACTAGGGTAAAATTGAAAAACTTAGCAGGAACTGTCACCTTGCAAGTCTCCCTTTCTGGCATATTTGCTACGCTTTTTTGTCACCCGTCCTAGAGGACGAATCTTCAGGCCTGATAAGGGAAAGATGTTCCTGGGAAATTAATACTGAGAATTTTCCCTCAAATTCAACTTCTCAGTAATAAGCACTCAGGTTTATGCTAGGATTGTTACTAGTTACTTATACTTCTTGGGAAGGCCAATATGCAGGCAGTCTCCTTGAATTTCTGGAGGCCAGAAGGGCAGAAAAATCCTTGGGAGAATGGTACAAAGAGCTTCTCTAAGGCCTAGACAGGATCCTTTCACTGATCAGTCGCTATAGTAAGCAGTGGGGTTCTATTGTGGGCATCGAAGTTCAAGGGTATTCCTCCTCCAACGAAGAGAACACTGCTGAGCCTCTTGATTTATAGGGAAGTCTTCACACAGTTATGATTTCATGTCTTTGACTTATACTTAGGGAATTTGACTAAGTCTGTTTGTATCTTTCTCTCAATCACTGTCATCTGGTGGCATCTGTGCACTGACTATAAGCAGCCATCATCCCAAGGTGTAGTTCCTTATGCTCCCCTTCGCCATAGGAAGCTTGACCTTAGAGGGTTGCTGGTGTTGAAACTTAGGTCAAAGAAACCAAGAAAGTCCTTGAATATCCTGTTGTCTGTGGAGGGGGATAATGTATTTAAAGTTTTCTGGAGTATCAATTGGGAAGAGGCTCCAATTTTGAGTTATCAATGGGCAGATGAGGATGAAAAGTCTTTATAACTGACAATTGGAATAAAGTGAGTTTCTGAAAGAAGCTTGAGAAAAGTGCAAGTTAATATTAAGTAAATTCAATCACTTGTACTTAGGTTTTGCCCCTTTTCACTGAAATACAGTGAACTAGACAACTGTAAAATATATATTAAACAGATCAGAAGCACTGTGAGAATGGATTTATGTTTTATAGCTAAAAATGAATTATGCAAGAGTGCTGCAGTGCCTTAAAATCAGCAAATCAGCAGCCACTAAACACTGACCAGTTGTTTGACAGCTGAAAGATGAAAGACGAAGATGATTTTAGGATTTGTTCGTGATGAGATCAAAACCAGATTATTTGTCTAGGACACATAACCTGCACTCTACAAGGAAAAGAACATTGATGAGACCAGCTAATTGGAGAAATTACAAATCTTCATGAAGACTGTGAGAGAAACGAAGTTTCTAGAGCCACAGAGCCTCCTTGCAGCCTTTCACACTGGAGATCTGGCCACCACAGTGCACATACAGAAAAGTTCTTGGAAATTTTATGAGTCTGAGCTCTCTCTCAATATGTTCATTGTCTCTCTGCAGAACTTTTAGATTTTCATACCAATGTTCTATAGCCACCCAGTTGGAATTCTTTATCTTTCTCCTCATCTACCCTTATCTATGACTTTTCACTCTTATATATCCAGGACCCTACATTCTTATCAAATGTATGGCTTTCAGTGTATTCCCCAAAGTCAATAAAAAATAATGATAGATTCATGATAGTAATGACTTTACTGAATGCAAAGGCTAAGGTGAATGTTTTAGAATGAGAAAAAAGGAGCCAGTATGTTCATAACAAAACTTTCTAGATTATTATTTTTAATCATTTGCTTTGCCTTTAGAAGGAATGAAAGTGAACTATCCTTCTTATAATAACTCCATCCCATTCTATGATGCACTTTTAATTTAGTTTGCAGCATGTGACATTTAGGTAGTCAGGAGTCGTCCTTCTTGATGTAAACTCACCTAATGTCCTTTTGAATGCAGTTTTATTCAATTCCCTATGATGCTCTGTTTTTATTTCAGGACCTGATATGTTGTACATACTTTTCCAAAGTTCTTTTCAGAGCTGCCTTTACTTCCTTGTTCTTCAGGCTGTAGATGAGAGGATTCAGCATGGGAGTGACTACATTATATTGCACAGAGAAGATCAACTCCATGCTGGAACCTGAATTTGGCATGAGATAGCGGAGAAACCCTGAGCCATAGTAAAGTGTCACTGCAGTGAGGTGGGAGGAGCAGGTGGAGAAGGTCTTGCTTCTGCCTGAGTTGGAGCTGATGCTCAGGATGGTGGCAATAATGTGGGCATAGGATAAGAAGACCAAAAGGAAGGTTCCCAGCCCATGCAGAAGAGTGGAGCAGAGCAAGACAATCAGGTTTCTGGAGGTATCAGAGCAGGACAAAGGGAGGAGAGAGGGCATTTCACAGCTGTAGTGGGGGATGATTTTGGCCTCACAGAAGACCATGTTTGTAGCTAAGCAGATGTTGATGAGTGCATCCAGAAAGCCAAGTCCCCATGATCCCCACACAAGCTGCATATACAGCTGTTTACTCATGATCTGTCCATAGAGCAGAGGGTGGCAGATGGCAGCATAACGGTCATAGGCCATGACTGAGAGCAGACAGGCTTCAGTCCCTGCAGCAACACACACAAAGAAGACCTGAGCCAAGCAACCCTCTACTGATACAGTTTTCCTTTGAGACAGAAGGTTCTCCAGCATCTTGGGCACAGTGACTGAAGAGAAAGAGATATCAACAAAAGAGAGGTGACTCAGGAAGAAGTACATGGGGGTGTGGAGGTGGGAATCAGCCCTGATCACCAACAGCATCATCACATTCCCCATTATGGTCAGAATGTAAATCTCCAGGAAGATCACAAAGAGCAGAGCCTTGACATTGGGGTTGTCAGACAGTCCAATGAGAATAAACTCTGTGATGTTGCTGTGGTTCCCCAAGGCCATTTACAAAGGCCTCTCTCTAGAAATAATGTAAAAAGACATGGGAGCAAAAGGTCTATTATCTTTGAAGGAATTTTCTCATTGCATTGATTCTCTTTTAATATCACTGTTGCTTAGTAAACACTTTTGCTTTCTATTATGACCTAGTTTTTGTGTCAACCACTTAACATAAAGAGATGATTAAGATATAATCCCTGAGCTTAATATTTTCCATTGAAGAAATGGATATAAAGACAAAATATAACTGCAATTAAGGCAATGGGAGCTCAAATTGCGATTTAGTAAGAGTCAATAATGACACTACCTGGATTGAAATTGATAAGATTTTTAAGAAAGCATATAATTACTCTTGGAAATATGTTTCTGACAGCTATTTAGTTTGTATGAACAATGTGTTCAGAGGCTCAGAACTGAGAAAAATCAAGCCATGTTTGGTGAAACATGAGTAGTTCTGGTAAGCTGATGTGTAGGGGATAAGTGGGCATCAAAAATCAGTGGTTGAACATGTAGGCTCCTGTGTCAGACTAGATTCGTATCCCAGCTCTAGCAATAGTTAGCTATGTCACTTTGTACGAGATACATGAATGTCTTTGCCTTGATTTCCTTATGTATAAATGCAGATAATAACAGTATCATGGAAAATTTTTAGAAAAATATGAGATAATGAGATATGAGTTCTTCACAAGTACCTACTCCTATCTATTATTACTAGTATTATTATTATTATTCTTTCTTTAGATTGTAACTATAGGTAAAAGTCACTTAAATTCTCATATAGGTTGAAGCACTTTGAAGATTAACTTGCTGCTGCTGATGCTGCTGTTGCTGTTGTCACATTATATGCCTTTACCAGGAGGTGCAAGAAAATCATATTGAAATCACGCCCGATAGCTGTTCTCTTCTGCTCATGACCCAAGCTGGAAGGCAAATTGGAAGTTTAGAATTATTTGAGAGAGAGTGGAGCCTGTCTCTACTTTCCTAATACTATGAGTGCTTTCACTAAGAATGGAAGGTGTGTAATTGCTGTAATAAGTAGAACAGCAAGCCTGCAGAGATGACTCAGGGGAGAGAAAGTGATTGGGACTCCGTGTAGACCCCTGGGCCTGCTCTGATGGGTATCACTAGGATGAATGTGAACCCTGGAACAGGCCAGAATCTGGAGAAAAGTAAGCAAGGGGGATGCTTGAAAGGTTTCATACCAGGAAATACTTGAATGGGTATCCTGGCTGTAGCAGCAACCAGAGAGAGGACTCTGCCCAGTACTACACATTCTGGACCATGCTCCCAGACAGTATAGGAAACAAGTTTGGAATGTCATCCTGTAGGACAGTGAGAATTTCACTCAGAGCTCCTAGCTTCTGTTAGAAACACCTACTGCTGCTAATCTCTGCCCCACTAAGGTTCCACTCACTAACTTTTCTCTATTCATCCTCAGAGGACTGTTTCAAACAGGAATAGAGCATTCACTCCTTTATATGTATTCCTCTGTCATACAGATTTTAGATTAGTTTTCTGGCTTTCATCCTGAGACATTGCTCTCAGTCTTCATATGCAAATTTATCTTGCATGACCAGCTTGTATTCATGTCCCTCAACTCTGTTTTTCATAAGTCTTCAGGTCTGGATTACAACATTGCGTAATTTCCTGAAATACTATTTACCCACGACTTCCAGCTTTGCGATACACCCTAAAGTCTGACCTTGGGTCACCCACAGGACCCATTTTGGCGGCTGTCAATTTCCTAGTCCTGGGCATTCCCAGTAAGCCTAAAGCCCAGTCAAGCAGTAGTTCTGATTCCTTATTTATTAGTCCCTTATCCACAAACCCAGCCTCAAAATCCTTCCCACACCCCAAACACACTTTACCTGTATCTCCTGTCCAATAAGGCAATCCAGTCTCCAGTTTGACTGTAAGATTTTGATTTAGATTCATCTATGAAGAAGGAAGATGACCTGGAGAGAGTGGCTTCTTGAGTCTTGTATCATGGTAGAGTTTATAAAATCCTATTGATGATAAAATGTTTTACTGAATTCTACACTAAAAAATTTATACAGCCATAGGGCAGTTCTTTCTCAGAAGAGTCTTAAATACTTTAGTTTTTTTGTGTTTCTATTATCATGTCTCAGTGACACATATTATTGTTTGGGTTTAACCAGTCCACAAATCAGCTACGCTTAGGCAGCTGTTTGGTTTGATATCTGGCCCTTGGCAGCCCAGGGGATAGTGAGGTCAATAGCGTTTATATTTTATAGTCACAACCTAAAGTCGGATTTAGTTTTCAATATTGAATTTTACAAGGACCAACAAGAAGCACTTAGGTGTGGCCTTTGAAATGTCTGAATGATGCGATGACCTATAATCATTAATTATAAACTCTTATGAGTCTAGTGGGAATTAAAAGTAGAGAGAGTGGCCAAAAGGGCATTTGCCCTCTCCCCAAGCAGGAAAGGAATAGTTTTCAATTTATACTCTAAGGGATATGTCTTCTCTCTGGAACTTCTCAGGCAAAATCAAATCCAGCTAAATTTGCTGTGTAAAGTGATTTGTTGGTTAAATGAAGACATAAAAAAAGTTAACAAGCACAGTTAATTGTCTAACCTATTTATTCAAATCAATTTCTTTATGAATACATTTAGATTTCTAAATGAAACTTTATTAGAGTTTGAGTGCTCCAAATTTGGGAGTATTTAGTGAAGCACTTGTTTAAAAAGTTTATTGTAATCTTAAGCATAAATAAACCGTTACATAAATCAAAATTTTCTTTTATTTATTTACAATGAGCTATAGGTTTTAGTCAAACTAGACTGTCCCGGCATAATTTTTTCGTTACTCTTACTTGTCAATTAAATAAGTAACAAATGTAACATGATTCAAGCATATTTGGAACAATTAAGTCCATATTTTAGAATGTTTGCTCTCTTTGTTAATCTATAGATTGATTTTAAAGTTTTTTAAAAAATTATTTGATAACATTCATTCACTCCTGTATCTAAAAATTTCTACATCTATGAATGTGCATATTTAAGGGTTTTGTAGCAAGAAACAATAGAGTTTTTGGAAAGTTTATCTGAGTTTGTTCTCTGCCCAAATATACAAAAGCAATTTCTTCAGCAATTTCAGTTCATTTTGCCTATATCCAAGGGCCACTCAGTAGAATTTCATTATTCTCCTTCCATAACCTGAAGTCTATCTTTGTTTTTATTCAACTGTCCAGAACCTTTATTTAATATTGAAGTTATGGCTTTCATGGAATTCCCTAAACTCAATTACAAAAAATGATTTAAGTTGCAAATATTTTGCTTAATAAGAAGATCAAAGTGAATATTTGAGGAGTATTGAGAATCAACACTTCCATTTCCATATTTTCTAAATTGAGATAGTAATTTATCCCATTGTTTTCCCTTTATTTGTACTAAGCTGACACCTTTACAACACCTCTGGATTCATGTCTTAAGGACTGTTAATTTATCTTCCAACATCTGACATTATGTAGACCTAGGACGTTTTCCTAATGTCAAGTCCCATAATGTCTGCCTAGTATCATATCTTCTACCAGTAACATGGAAAGTACTTTCTCAGTGTTTCTCACAGATGCCTTCATCTCCTTGTTCTTCAGGCTGTAGACAAAAAGATTCAGCATGGGAGTGACAACACCATACTGCACAGAGAAGATCAATTCCAGTGGGGAGCCTGAGATAGGCATGAGATAGCGTAGAAAAGCGGATTCATAGAAGAAGTACACCACAATGATATGGGAGGAGCAAGTAGAGAAGGCCGTGCTTCTGTCTGAAGTAGAGTTGATGCTGAGGATGGTGGAGACAATGTGGGCATAGGAAGAGATGATTAGGAAGAAGGCCCCAAGCCCATGTAGAAGGGTGGAGCAGAGCAAGACTATGTGGTTGGTGGAGACATCAGATAAGGACAGAAGAAAGAGAAAGAGCACCTCACAGATGTAGTAGTTGATGGTATGTTTCTCACAGAAGTCCAGGTTGGCAGCTAGGATGACGTTGATAAGCACATTAAAAAAAACCCCAAGCTCCATGAACCCTATACAAGCTGCACACACAGCCTTTTCCTCATCATGTGTCCATAGAGCGGAGGGAGGCAGATGGAAGCATAACAGTCATAGGCCATTAAATACTGAGAGCAGAAAACCTCAGGCCTTGAAGTGATGAACACAAAGAAGCCTTGTGCCAGGCAGCCCCTTACTGAGATGGCTTTTGTCTCAGATAGAAAGTCCTTCAGCATCTTAGGCATGATGAGTGAAGATAAACAAACATCCAGGAAAGAGAGTTGACTCAGGAAGAAGTACATGGGTGTGAGGAGGTGAGAATCAGCTTAGATTACTAACAGCATCATCAGATTCCCCATTATTGTCAGGAGGTAAATATCCAGGAACAACAAAAGGAGCAGAGCCTGGATGTGGAGGTCAGCAGAGAGTCCAAGGAGGGTGAACTCTCTGATGGTGCTGTGTTTCCCCAATTCCATTTACAAAGGCCTTTCCCTAGAACTAATATGAAAAGCCATGGCATCAAAGTTCTACTATCCCTAAGGAATTTTCTCATTGCATTGATTCTCTTTAATATCACTATTATTCAGCAAACAATTCTGCTTTCTACTAATGCATATACTTCGTTTAAGTCACTTGGAACATAAGGATAATTGAAATATGGTCCAGGCTTTTGAAATGCTCCCACTTATGGTGACACCAGTAGCATGATGTCATAAGATGCTTCTCTTTTTTATCTTCCTTTTTAATGAATGAATTTTGCATCCATACAGAAACAAGAACATCTAGGTGGGGGTTTACAGACTTTGTATCTTGCTCCAAGGGCCCTAGGATGAATCTTACCCACCAGTGTAGCTGGTAGGAGATAGACAAACCTCCATATGGGCTGCAGCACTAGCAGAGCCAGGGACACTGCCTATATCCTTCTCACTGCTCTTGGATAAGAATCAGGCGAGTGATGAATTAGGCAGACAAGTACCCATGAGAGAGAACTGGCAAAAGTCCAGCCCTCCCAAAGGGATAATCCAACACACCAGTGGAAGAAAAACAGAGGAAAAAAGAAATGTATGAGTTTGCTTGCATTGCATGTGAGTCTGGTTGCAGTGGAGGTGGGTAAGAGAAACTTTTTTGGCACCCCCCAGAAGGTGCTGAAGGGGTTGATTTATGTGGCAGAGGTGATCCCTCCCTTGGGCAAAGAGGAGGGTGGTGAAAGAGAGCCCAGCTATCCCAGCTGGCTGGTTGCAGCTGAATAAATCCATTTCTCATCACCAGCACCTGGAGTACTAATGTGGGAGCTCTGAAACCGGCAGGAGGGAGGATATTGAGAAAGAGGTAGATAAGAATTTCAAATGGCCTTGAAGGGATTGTGCTCAGCATAAAGTCCACCTACGTGCCTCTGGGAACACCATCTCTTGGGATTACCCTCCTGGGTCTGTGGGAGCCCCAAATGTACTGAGTGCTAGACCTACACCTCCCCCAATTCTGTTGCCATCTTCTTATGTATGCTCCTGAGTGTGTCTGCCAAAGTGAACTCTGGTAGACAAGAAGCATGCTCAGAAAATAGGCCATGGTTTCTGGGCAAGGGAGAAACCAAACACTGAGCTATACAAACCTTCTGGAATACAAAAGAGAGATTCTAATAGCCAACCTGGTGAATTGTAAGAACTAAATAAGACATATGAACTTAGTTAAGGAGGTATCCACTACTTCAAATGTGAAAGCAGCAGCACATAGCTACAAACAATATGAAAAATTAAGGAAATATGGCATCACAAAAATAAAATGATAATTCTCCAGTAACTGAACTCAAAGATGTAGAATATGGCAATCTAACTGGTAAAGAATAGCTGTTATGAAGAAATTCAACAAGCTATAAGAAAACTCAGAAAGACAATTCACTGGAAGCAGGAATAAAATTAACGAACAGAAGGAGTTCTTTACCAAAGTGATTGAAATGATAAAAAAAGAACCAAACAGAAATTCTGGAGCTGAAGTTCTCAGTGAATGAAATCAAGAATGCAATAGAAAGCATCTGTAGTAGGGCAGACCAGATAGAAGAAAGAACAGGTGGCTTGAAGGATAGGAATATAGAAATAATACACTTAGAAGAAAATACAGAACTAAGATTTAAAAACAGTGTTGAAAGCCTACAAGAGCTATCAGAGTCCATCAGAAAGGCAAATATCCAAATAATTGGGGTTCTGGAAGGAGAAGAGAAGGAGAAGGGGCCAGAGAGTTTATTTAAAGTAATAAAAGATGAGACCTTCCCAAACCTGAGTAAAGACTTGAACATACAAGTCCATAAAGCTAAGTGAACACCCCGTTAACTCAATGTAAATAGATCTTCTCCAAGACACATTATTATGAAACTGTCAAAAATTAATGACAAAGAATGAATCTTAAAGGCAGCCAGAAATCAAGGGAAAGTAACCTACAAAGGATCTCCATTAGGTTATCAGTGGATTTCTCAGCAGGAACTCTACAGTCCAGGAGAGAGTGGAGTGACATATTCAAATTGCTGAAAGATAAAAATTGCCAGCCAAGGGGCTGGCCCCGTGGCCGAGTGGTTAAGTTCACACGCTCTGCTGCAGGCAGACCAGTGTTTCGTTGGTTTGAATCCTGGGTGCAGACATGGCACTGCTCATCAAAACCATGCTGAGGCAGCGTCCCACATGCCACAACTAGAAGGACCCACAACAAAGAATACACAACTATGTACCAGGGGGCTTTGGGGAGAAAAAGGAAAAAAATAAAAAATCTTAAAAAAAATTGCCAGCCGAGAATTCTTGATCTGAAAAAGTTATCCTTCAGATATGAAGGAGAAACAAAGGCTTCTCCAGACAAACCAAAGCTGAGGGATTTCACCACCACTAGACCTGTCTTGCAGGAAATGCTGCAAGGAGTTCGTCTTGCTGAAATGAAAAGACTCTAACCAGGGACACGAAAATATATGAAAGTACATAACACACTGGTAAAGGTGAAAAATAGGAAGAAATTAGAAAACTGTAACTCTACATTAGGATGGTGTATTAACCACTCAACTATAGTATAAAATTCAAAGGAAAATAATATTAAAAATAACTATAGCTACTACAAATTGTTAATGAGTATATGACATAAGAAGAGGTAACTTGCAACATCAATAGTATAAAAGAGAGGAGTAAAAGCATTGTCTTTATAGGCATTCAAATATAAGTTGCTATCAGCCTAAAATGTATTGTTTATCTATAAGATGTTTTATGCAATTCTCAAGGTAAGAACAAAGCAAAAACCTAGAGCAGATTCACAAAAGACAAAGAGAGGGGAAACAGAGCATACCACCATGGAAATTAACCAATTTACAAAGTAGGCATAGACAGAGGGAAGAAGAAACAACGGAAATATGAAACAGTCAGAAAGCAATTAATAAGATGGATTAGTAATTCCTTAAATATCAATAAGTACTGTAAATATAAATGGATTGAATTCACCAATCAAAAGCAAAGAGTGGCTGGATGGATTAAAAAACCCAGACCCAACTACGTGCTGCCTACAGGAGACCCATTTCAGATTTAACGACACACATAAAGGACACACATTTAAAGACTCAAAGTGAAGGGATAGAAAAAGATATTCCATGCAAGTGCAAATCAAAAGAAAGCGGAGGTAGGTATACTTACGTTAGAAAAAATAGACTTTAAGCCAAAAAAGGTAGCAAGACCCAAGTAAGGTCATTATATAATGATAAAGAGATCAATTTAGCAAGGAAATATAACAACTATAAATATATACACATACCCTACATTGGAACTCCTAAATATATCAAGCAAAATACTAACAGATATGAAGGGAGAAATAGACAATACAATAATAGTAGGGACTTCAATACCCCACTTTCAACAATGGACAGATCATCCAGACAGAAAATCCAAAAGGAAATGATGTACTTGATCTATACATTAGACCAAATAGAACTAACATACATTTATAGACCATTCCATCCAACAGCAACAAAATTCACACTCTTCTCGAGTGCACACAGAACTTTTCCAAGAGAGATCCTATGACAGCACAAAGGACTTTGCTGAAAGAAATTGAAGAAGACATAAATAAATGGAATGACATCCTGTGTTGATGGATTGAAAGAGTTAATATTGTTAATATGTCTAGGCTATCCAAAGCCATCTGCGGATTCAACATAATCCCTATCAAAATTCCAATGGCTGTTTTCACAGAAACAGAATAAACAATTCTAAAATTTGTATGGAACCACAAAAGACCGTGAATAACCAATTCAATCCAGAGAATGAAGAACAATACTGGAGGCATCACACCTTCTGATTTCAAACTACACTACAAATCTATAGTAATTAAAACAGTTTGATATTGACATAAAAACTAGACACATATTCCAATGAAATAAAGTAGAGAGCCCAGAATTAAGTTGCTGCATATATGGTCAACTAATATTTGATAAGGGAGCCAGGAACATCCAGTGGGGAGAAGATAGTCTCTTCAAGAAATAGTGTTGGGAAAATTGGATAATCAAGTGCAGGAAAATGAAATTGGACCCCTGTCTTATCCCACTTACAAAAATTAGCTCAAATGGATCAAAGACTTAAAAATAGGATCTGAAAACATAAGACTTCTAGAAGAAAAGGTATGGAAGACGCTTCTTGACATTGGTGTTGGCAACGATTTCTTTTTGATATGACACCAATAGTACAACAACAAAAGAAAACATCAACAGGTTGAACAGCATCATACTTAAAAGCTTCTACACAGCAGAAGAAACAATTAACAAAATAAAAAGGCAACCTACAGAACGAGAGAAAATTTTTACAAACCGTGTATCACATAAAGGGTTAATATACAAAATATATAAAGAACTCATACAACTCAGCAACAAAAAAAATCTGATTTAAAAGTGGGCGAGGACCTAAATAGACATTTCCAAAGAAGACATCCAAATGGCTAATAAGTACATGAAAATATGCTCAACATCACTAATCATCAGGGAAAAGCAAATCAAAACCATGATGATGGTCCGGCTCCATGGCTGAGTGGTTAAAGTTCTGTGTGCTCCTGCTTCAGAGGCCTGGGTTCATGGATTCAGATCCTGGTACAGACCTATTCCACCCACCATCCATACTGTGGCAATGTCCCACATACAACAAAATAGAGGAAGATTGGCACAGATGCTAGCTCAGGGCTAATCTTCCTCAAGCAAAAAGAAAAAAAATAAAGAGAGATTGGCAACAGATGTTAGCTCGAGGTGAGTCTTTCTCAGAAAAGAAAAAAACCAGGATGAGCTATCACCTCACACCTGTAAGAATAGCTATCATCAAGAAGACAAGAGTTGAGTTTTGGTGAGGATGTGGGGAAAGGGAACCCTTGTGTACTCTTTGTGAGACTGTAAACTTGTTTAGCCATTATGAGGAACATTATGGAGGTTCCTCAAAAGATTAAAAGTAGAATTACCATATCATCCACAATTCCACTTCTGGGTAAGTATCCAAAGGAAACGAAAACAGAGTATCAAACAGACATGTGCTCTCTCTTGTTTGTTGCAATATTATTCACAATAGCCAAGATGTGGAGACAACCTGAGTATCCATCAACGAATGAATGGATAAAGACAAGTACACAATGGAATACTATTCAGCTATGAGAAAAAAAGGAAATCCTACCATTTGTGACAACATGGATAGACCTTGAGGACATTATACCAAGTGAGATAAGTCAAATAGAGAAAGACAAATATCATATGATTTTTCTTATATGTGGAATCTAAAAAAATGAAATTGTAAAAGCAGAAAATAAAATGGTGGTTACCACAGTCTGGAGGCAGAGGAATGGGAGAGATATTGTTCAAGGTACATACTTGCAACTAGTAGATAAATAACTCCTGGAGACATAATACATGGTACAGTGATTATAGACAACAAAATTGTATTATAAACATTCGACTTGCAAAAAATGTTCCCACTCTACTGAAGAATGTGGATATGAAGATAAGAAATTCTAAAACAGTATAATTAATGCAATGGGAGCACAAATTGTGATTTAGTAAGGATCAGTAATGATATTACATTGAGGAAACTAGAGCAAAATTTTTAAGAATGTATAAGATTGCTCTTGAAAAACATCTTTCTGAGAGACATCTATTTTGCATGAACGATGTATTCAAAGGCTCAGGACTGAAAAAAATTGAGCCAAGTTTGGTAAAACATGAGTAGCTTTGAGAAGTTGATGCCTAGGGAATAAATGCCATCATAGAGCAAGAGATAAATGTGTGGGCTCCTGCATCAGACTACGTTCAAATCCCACGTCCACCCCTAATTAGCTATATGACCTTGAACAAGATACATGAAGCTCTGTGCCTCAATATAATTGTGTATGAAATGCAGTTAGTAACAGCACCACAGAAGGTTTTTGGAGTTAAATATGAAATTATACATAAAGCTCTTCAAAAGTACCTACTCCTAACTATTTATTATTATTATTATTATATTTGAGATTGCAAGTCTATTCAAATGTCACCTAAATTCTCACATGGGGGAAGCACCAGCAAAGGCCAAATCTGCTGCTGCCAATGCTCCTGTTGCTCTTACTACTTCAAATGCCTTTATCAAGAAAGGTGCAAGAAAGTCACATTGAAACCACTCACAAGTATCTCCCCTCCCCTGCTCATGACCCAAGCTGGAAGGAAAATTAGAAGCTTAGAATTATTTTGGAGCGGAGCATGTCTCCATTTTGCAATTACTGTGGGTAGCTTCACTCAGAAAGGAGGGCATGTAACTGCTGCAAAAGGTATGACTGCAAGACCACAGAAATGACAAGAGGGAGAGAAAGTGATTGTGACACAGTATGGACCCCTGGGCCTGCCCTGATGGCTGTCATTAGGATGGATGTGCATTCCAGAACAGACCAGAATCTCTAGAAAGGTAACCAAGAGGAATGCTTGAAAAGTTTCATGTCAGGGAATGCTTAACTGTGTATTCTGGTTGTAGAAGGGGCCAGAAGAAAAGACTCTTCCCCATTCTACACATTCTGTACCATGCTCCCAGACAGTATAGGAAACAAGTTTGGGAAGCCATCCTGTACAACAGTGAGAACTTCACTCAGAGCTCCTAGCTTCTATTAGAAACGCCCACTCTACTAATCCCTGCCCCATAGGAAGAAGGCTCCACCCACTAACTTTTCTCTGCTCATCCTCAGAATCTGGTTTCAAACAGGAATAGAGCATTCTATGTATCCTTTATATGTATTCCTCTGTCATATAGATTTTAGATTAGCTTTCTGGCTTTCATCCCAAGACATTGTCCTCAGTCTTCATATGCCAAATTTATTCTTCTTGACCAGATTGTATTCATGTCCCTCAACTCTGTTTTTCATAAATCTTCAGTTCTGGATTAGAAAATTGCTCAGTTTCCTAGAACCCTAACTATTTACCTATGACTCTCAGTTTTGGCTGTATACCCTAAAGTCTGACCTGGGGTTACCCCCCAGGACCCATTTTGGTGGCTAAGTCAATTTCCTGGTCCTGGACATTCCTCCTAAGTCCAAAGCACAGACAAGGGGTATTTCTGATTCCTTACTTATTAACCCCTTAGCCACAAACCCAGCCTCAAAATCCTTCCCACACCCCAAACACATAGTACCTGTATATCCTGTCCAATAAGGCAAGCTGCTCTCCAGTCTGACTGCAAGACTTTCATTTAGATTCATCTACTAATAAAGAAGATGACCTGGAGAAAGTGGCTTCTAAGTCTTGTATCGTGGTAGAGTTTATGAAATCCTATTGATGATGAAATGTTTATTGAATTCTACACTAAAAAATTTATATAGCCTTGTGGCAGTTCCTGTTTTCAAAGGGTCTGAAATACTTTCGTTTTCTTCGTTTCTAATATCATGTCTCAGTCATGCGTAGCACTGTTTGCATTTAACCAGTCTGCAGAGCAGCTGTGTTTAGGCAGTTGGTTGGTTTGATTTCCTACCCTTGGCAGCCCAATGCATGGTGAAGGCAACACATTTTATATTCTGTAATCACAGTCTGAAGTCAGATTTAGTTTTTGAGAACTGTTTAGTTTTGAAACAATGTTTTCAACATTGAATTTTACAAGGACCAATAGGGATGTCCTAGGTTTGGCCTTTGGGAGGTCTGGACAATGCAATGACCTATAGTCATTAATTTTAAACTCTTCTGAGTCTAGTGGAGTTGAAAATAGAAAGAGTGGCTAAAAGGGTATTTGCCTCCAGAACCTTTACTTAAGTATGAATTTGTGGCTTCCACTGACTTTTCCTAAAGTGACTTACTAGTAATGACTGAAGACACAAATGTTTTACCTAATAAGAAGACCCAAGTGATTATTTGGGGAGTACTTGGAATAACGAATTAGCACTATCATGACCACATTTTCTAAATTGAGATAGTTGTTTAACCCATTGTATTCACTCTGTTTGGACTAAATTAATAGCTTTCTGATACCTCTGTGTCCATTTTTTATGCACTGCTTATTTATTTTGTAAGATGTGATGTTATGTAGAGCCAGGGAGTTTTTCATAAGGTCAACTCACTCATGTGTAGCTAGTATCATATTATCTTGATTCTCCATTATCCTTTAGCTTTATTCTTCCACTAGGAAAATGGCAAACACTTCCCAGTATTCTTCTCACAGCTGCCTTCACTTCCTTGTTCTTCAGGCTGTAGATGAGAGGATTCAGCATGGGAGTGACCACACCATACTGCACAGAGAAGATCAATTCCAGGGAGGATCCTGAGGTCGGCATGAGATAGCGGACAAACCCTGAGCCATAGAAGAAAGCCACTGCAATGAGGTGGGAGGAGCAGGTGGAGAAGGCCTTGCTTCTACCTGAGGTTGAGCTGATGCTCAGGATGGTGGAGACAATGCAGGCGTAGGATGAGATGATTGGGAGGAGGGTCCCAAGCCCAAGCAGCAGGCTGGAGCACAACAGGACTGTGAGATTGTTGGAGACATCAGAGCAGGAGAGAGGGAAGAGAGAGGGCACCTCACAGCTGTAGTGGCTGATAGTATGGTTCTCACAGAAGTCCAGGTTGGCAGCTAGGAGGATATTGATAAAAGCATTCAAAAAACCCAAGCCCCATGACCCCCACACAAGCTGTACACATAGCTGTTTCCTCATCATCTGTCCATAGAGCAGAGGGTGGCAAATGGCAGCATAACGGTCATAGGCCATCACTGAGAGTAGGCCGACTTCAGTCCCTGCAGTGATAAGCACAAAGAAGCCTTGTATCAGGCAGCCCCTTGCTGAGATGGTTTTTATCTCAGATAGGAGGTCCTTCAGCATCTTGGGTACAGTGACTGAAGAAAAACAAAAATCCAGGAAAGAGAGGTGACTCAGGAAGAAGTACATGGGTGTGTGGAGGTGGGAATCAGCCCTGATCACCAGCATCATCGTCAGGTTCCCCATTATGGTCAGGAGGTAAATATCCAGGAACAACACAAAGAGCACAGTCTGGATGTGGGGGTCGGCAGACAGCCCGAGGAGGAGGAATTGAGTGATGGTGCTGTGGTTCCCCAAGGCCATTTACAAAGGCTACTCCCTAAAAATTATATAAAAAAGTCACAACAGTGAAGTTTCTTCTATTCTCCAATCAGTTTTCACATTGCATTGATTCTCTTTTATTATCACTATTAATCAGCAATTAAATTTTTATCTTCTACACTAGGCCAACTTTTATGTCAGTCACTTTGAATATAATGGAAAATAAGACATGGTCTCTCTCATTTTAAAGGTCACACTTCAATGAGATACATATATAAACATAGGCTACTAGAAACCATTGTGATTGGTGAAATGAGAGTTCTAAAGATGATTTTTGGAAGAGTCAGTAATGAGTTAATATTGAGGTACGTAAGCAAAGATTTTAAGAAAATGTAAGCTTCTCTAGAGAGACAAGTAGTTTGAGAGAATAGCGCACTCAAAGATAAAGAATTAGGAAATGGGATAGTTCTTTTTAGCATGACTCTACAATGTGAATTAGCAGCACAGTGTAGTCACTCACAGGTAGTGTAGTCATTCACAGGTAGGCATCAGTCTAGGTTCAAATCCCAGCTCGACCACTAATGAGCTGTGAGACCTTATTAAGGTGGCTTACCTATTCTGTACCTCAGTTTTCTTGTCTATAAAATAAGGTAATAGTATCACCACTCTCACAGGATTTTTTCAAGGATAAAATATATAAAGTATTTAGAAAAATGTCTACACAAAAGGCTCACTTATTATTATTATTATTAATTTCATCACTATTATTCCTTTAGGTTACAATTGTGGGCAGAAGTCAGATAATAAATAAATCCTCTTTCAGGGTAATGCACTATCAATCAGGAGTTAAAGTTTTTGCTGTGACAATGACCGAACTTGTTTTCTAAAGGAAGTCTCAGACAATCATGTAGAGATCACTAAGGTGGCTGAAGATTGGCATTTTGAAATCACTTTGGAGTGGATCCCTTCCAAAGTTAAAACATTTTACAATCATTGAGGGCAATTTCCCTCAGGAACGGAGGGCATGTCACTGTTCTGGAAAGGAAGAGCAGCCATAAATTAGACGGGAGATATTAGAGACGCTAGGTGTAACTTTGGCGCTTGCCCTTACGTTATTTTCTGGGATGGATGCATATCCTGGTTGGGTGGAGAACTCTGGGCAAAGAAGGAAGCAAAGAATGTGAATGGAAATCATGCTGGTGCTCAAAGGAGCAGCCAGGATAGAAAACCCTCTCCAGATCAATCCACTCTGGACAATTGCCCCAGACAGGGTAGAACAGGGATAGTGTTAGAGAACAAGATCAGGGACTCACCCTGTCAGTCCTGTGACAGATTGTGCTTGATGGGGCCCCTATCTTCAGTTAAAATTGTCAGTTACTGCTGACCCCTGCCCCTAAAAAATAGATCTCATATTTCTTTCTCCAGTGTAGAGAGGCAGCTTAAAACATTCGGTCCTGTATATACCTCAGTTGTGTACCTCTCTGATTTCGATCCTTAGGTACTTTCTCAATGTCCAAATCCCAAATCTCTTTCTCATGCCCGGATTATGTCCCTGCCCTTAGATTCTACTTTTTTCTAAGACTCTATATCTAGTTTATAATGTCAGGGGGTCTAGTTAAACATTGTTACAGATGGTTCCTAGTTCTAGCCTGAGAGCCTAGAGACTGTCCTTTAGGTAACTTCCAGGACACATCATGGTGCCACAGCATGACTCCTGGTTTTGGCTAATCCTGAGTTGCTTGGTACCTGATAATGCAAGGTCTAGCCCAGACTTAATTTCCCAGCCAGGGTGCCTCCTGAGCCCTTACTTATCAATTCTTCATACATAATCTCAGCTGCAAAGCCCTTCCCATAACCCAAATGCTGATTACCTGTAAATTCTGTCCAAGATAATCTCATCCCCAAGAAGGCTGCAAGAATGTGATTTATATCAAGGTTCTAAGAAGATGAATGAACTGGAGAAGATAGTTTTCTGCATCCTGAAACATAGTTAAATTCATGTAATCCAATTGATAATTAAATCTACTTCTTTATTCTGCACTAACATACGAAATAGGCATAGAACAGTTGCCTCTTTCAAATGATCTCAGATGTCTTCACCCAGGCAGCTCTTCACTTGGATTTCTACATGATTGTTTATAACATGTCTCAGCCACTCATAGAATTATCTGGACTAATGAATCCTCAGAATAGCTATGTTTAGACAGCCTGAGCATTAAGTCCCTGGTTTAGAAGCTCAGGGGAATGATAACTCTGCTGTTCCCCGTAGTCACAATTTGAAGTCAATCTTGTACTCAAGAACTTTAGCAAACGTACCAAAAAATGTCAGCAAGTTTAAATTCATGCAGCTTGCTTAAATCTGACCTTTGGAACTACCAGGTTGACGTGATGACTATGAAACATTAAACGTGAACCTTTGTTAGTCTAGAGGGAGTTGATTGGAGATAGATTTGGCCAAGAGTATTTGAATGGTCCTTATGAAGCAATGGGAATTTACCTGGATGTGAGCTGCTGACTCACTAAGGTGATTATCAAATGGGTAAAGAGAAAAAAAATCAATGAACTCGATCTCTTTAAGCCAGTTGACTCCCTTTTTGTGATGCATCTGTGTAGGTTCAGTCTAAACAATGGCTCTCTTAAAGTATGAATGCCCACAGATTGGAGATGTCATGCGGGGAATCATTTGCTTAAGTTTTCGTGGTCTTGATGTAAAACAAATTTCCATTTATTTATTAAAATGAGCTACAAGATTTATCAGTAAAATTAGTTTTAGGAAAAAAAGTTAATCCTTAATATTTATTAGGAAAGCAACCAAATAAAATTCCGAGAAGACTGGAAAACTCAAGTCCGATTGTCTAGTGTGGTCCAACAGGTTTCTGTGATGATGGAAAAGTTCTATATGTGCACAGTCCAATAAAGCAGCCACTAGCTACATGTGGTTATGGAGCCCTTGAAGTGTGCCCAGTGAGACTGAAGAACTAGATTTTTAGTTTTACTTAATTTTAATTAATGAAAAATTAAATTTAAATAGTCTTGTGTAATTAGTGGTTACCACATTGAACAGCTCAGGTCTACCATTGTCATTCTATAGATCTATGCAAAGAAATAATATTTTCATATATTTCTCTGATTATAAAATTTATATATATAAAATCTAGGAATGTTGTAGATGATTCATGTATATGCATGTTTGTATATTTTTATGGGCAAGGTGTTGGTGTGTGTTTTCATGTAAAGAATATTTGCAAAGTATTAATAGTAGTTATCTCTGGATGCACAGTATTAAATAGTGTTTCATTATCTATTCTTTTTAGGGGGATTCTCTGTGTTTCTATATTGAGCTTCTATTAAAATAAGACAATAAAAGTTACAAAAGTAACACAAGTTTAAGTAAAAATGTAATTAAGACAATATAAAGTCTTCTTTATTTGCCACAAGTTAGGGAAAAATACTCTGATATTAAGGTATTTTTCTTTTAATTCTGTCTATCAATCTATAATCTGTCAATCTATCTATCTATCTATCATCTATCTATCTATCTTTCTCTCAAAATTGATTACTCTCTTGCTCCTCAACTCAAAGTATGGTCATGGGCCAGTATTATTAGCATCATCTGGAAATTTGTTTGAAATACAAACTCTTAGGCCCCATGCTAGTCTTATTGATTGGACTGACATTCATCCACATCTCCAGATAATTCATGTGCACATAAAAGTTTGATGAACAGTGGATTAAATCCAAGAATAATTTTGAATCTTTTTTATGTATCATTTTAATGTGTAGAATTTCCTTACATTAAATACTTTCCTAAATATGATTTCAAAATATGGATTACAGTATTCAATAGCATGAGTTTACCTTAATCAAATTACACATTCTGTAATATAACAAAGCATTTCTAGCTTTCATAGCTATCATGAAAAAATTATGTGATAAACAATCTTGTGGCCAAAATTTGATGCAATATATGTTTAATTCTTTGAACCTGTAAATGCTGGGGCAAAGGATATGAGCTTTGTGAAAGTTCTTAATGCATATTACCACAAAATATCCAGAAATATTGAACCCCTTTACTCCTCCCATGTGACTTGAAGTCTATCACTAGTTTTATCCAACTGTCCAGAACCTTTACTTAATAGTGAAGTTATGGCTTCCATTGAACTTCCTAAACTCAATTGCAAATAATGATTTAAGACACAAATATTTCACCTGTGGAAGTTAATAAAAGAAATCTTAGCTAAATTGGAGTTGGGAAGGCCTGCAGGCAGAGTACTCATGCCCTATCATATATCGTGAATTTCAACAAACAGGAAGAAACATATGCTTGCATCTTCCACAGGAAGTAAAACTACTTTAAGACTAAAGGAAGATTTCTCTCCCCACCTGGCAATAGTCCAGCCAATGAGAAGTGCCACAGCTCAGCCAATGAGAAGCTGTTGCCCCTGAACTGTTACTTTATCCCAATGGACTTTCATTTACAACAGCCCATCCTTGCTCTCCATTTTCCTCTATAAAAGCAGCTTCCCTGCTTTGTTTTCTGGATTTGCCTATAGTTTGCCATAGCATGCACATTCTGAATTGCAATCCTTTTGGCTATTCCTGAATAAACTCATTTTAAGGATAAAATAACAGGCAAATTTGCTTTTTAAGTTGAGACACGCAATAAGACCAATGTGAATATTTGAGGAGTAGTGAGAATCAACATGTTTATTTCCTATTTTCCAATTTATCTCAAAAAATAATATTATTTAAAATATAATATTAATATAATATAAATATAATATAAAAATTGTTTTCTATTTGTACTAAGCTAACACTTGTATAATACCTCTACATTCATTTCTTACGCACCATTAATTTATCTCCCAACACTTGATATTGTGTAGACCTAGGAATTTTTTCTTAATGTCTGTCTAGTATTATATTTTATGATTCTTTGTTATCTTCTAGCTTTATTTTCCCACCAATAACATGGAAAGTAATTCCCCAGTGTTCTTCTTAAAGTTACTTTCACCTCCTTGTTCTTCAGGCTGTAGATGAGA